ATTAGAGATTAGAGACAGGTGCTGCGTGTGTGTGTGTGTGTGTGTGTGTGGTGTGCAGGGAGGAGTGTCTGGGCTCCCCTGTGGGTCCCCTGCAAGAGGTGGCCTGTCTTCCTGGGCTGAGATGTACGTGGAAGTGGGAAGAGGAAGTAGGAGGAGGGGAGACAGGGAGAGAGGTGGTGGCAGGAATGTGGCCCCAGAGCAGGCCCCGGCCGAAGAGGGGATTTCCAGAGATGTCCCTCCCTCCCTGTCACTCTCTTCTGGGCCTCCTGCCCCCCCAGCCAAAACCTGGCCCTGCTGCCTGCACAGCCCCTTCCCAGCACATGGTAGCCAGGCTGCTCCTCGCTGTGGTCCAGCCCAGACTGCAGCTCCTGATTTCATTTTCCCCAACTGAGGTGGGGAAACCCCGGAACTGGAACTTCCCTCCCACTGCCCCCCTTGTCCCTAGGTTGTGAACCTTGTCCCCCATCAAACACAAATCCACTGCACTACACAGGAGCAAGGAAGGGCTTGTGGTGCCTCGGGGAGGGCAGGGCAGCAGGACAGATGCTGCTCTCTCCTCATCCCTCTTCCAAGGGCTGCTCCCTCCATTGGGAGGCACTGGGGGAACCCCGCTTCTGCTCCCCCGTCCCCCTGACTAGTGAAGTGGGGAGCCCAGCCCTGGAAACCCCCTTGCACCACTCTGCAGCTTTCGGTTTGGCTGTCAGCTGCAGCTGGTCTGGCAGGGTCCTGAGGTGGAACAGCTTGAGGTGTGGGCAAGCTGGACAGGAAGGCCCTTGTCCATCAGTGCCCTGCCCATGTGTGCTACCCAGCAGTGGCCCTTGCCAAGGGAACCTGGAGCGCCTGCCCCTGAGTGCTGGCTTCCTAAACCCACCCTCACTTCTTGGCCCCAGCCCTCACTTCCTGCACCCAGGTCATGGGCACAGGTTGATGGATTCCTTACAACCCTGAGACCCTGGCCCACCTGGGCTCCAGGTTCTGACTCCACACCCTCCCTTGCCTCAGGCTGGTCCACCTGGCAGTGATCCATGAGGCTCCAGATGTGCTGCTGTGCTGCCTGGCCTTGCTGCCCCAGGAGGTCCTAGACATTCAGAACAACCTCTACCAGGTGAGTACAGAGAGGAGGTGCCCAGGTACCTGTCTACCCTGGCAGCCATCCCAAGAGCATACTAGGGTCACTCAGAGAGCTGTGTGCCAGGCTCAGGTGAGAGCTGAGGGCACAGAGGAGTAGGCACAGCCCCTGCTGTGGCACCACCTGGTCACACAGCAAGTAACTGGAGCTGTGATAAAGACACGCACCAGCTGCTGGAAAGGCATAGTGCAGGAGGCAGTGTCTGAATGGAGCCTTATGGAAAGGGCTGCAAGAGGAAGTGGCCCTGTAGCCCTGCCTTTCCTCCCCACTCCAGATGACACAGGTCTCCCCTGGATTTGGTCCCCACATGTCCTTTCTGCAGAGGCTGAGGGACTTAAAGAAGAGCAAGGGCCCTTCCAGAACTGGGGTACCATGAACTTGGTGGGGTGACAGGAGTCCTCCTTGGGAGACCTTCTTTGGGAGACCAGGGCTGTGACCTTTGGGAGCTGCTCCCAAAGTGGGGTTGGCATCTGGAGACTGCTGTGACTGCCGCAGCATGTTCCCTGTGACCCTTTTATGTCCCCACAGACTGCTCTGCACCTGGCTGTGCACCTGGACCAGCCAGGTGCAGTTCAGGCCCTGGTGCTGAAGGGGGCCAGCCTGGCACTGCAGGACCGGCATGGTGACACAGCCCTGCACGTGGCCTGCCAGCGCCAGCATCTGGCCTGTGCTCGCTGCCTGCTGGATGGGCGGCCAGAGCCAGGCCGAAGACCAGCTCACCCCCAGGACCTCCAGCTGCAGAACTGGCAAGGTGCGGGCAGCCCCAGGGCTTGTGGGATAGGGGACAGGAGACAGGGACTCCAGCCACAGGGAAGGAAGGGCCCCAGCTTGTCCCTGGTGCTTCTGTAGCTCTAAGTACGTGGGTACTCACTAACAGTTTTGCTAGATGGAGGAATGAATGAATGAATGAATAAAGAGTCAGAATTTACACAGCACCTTTGGTGTGCTGAGCAGAAATCTAAATCCTATCCTTGAACTGAATGTGGTTGGCTCACACCGGTAATCCCAGCATTTGGGAGGAGGATGCTGTGAGTTTGAGACCATCCTGGGCTACGTAGTGAATTCAAGGCCAGCCTGAACTACAGAGTAAGACCCTGTCTCAAAAAAAAAAAAAAATCCTATTCTTAAAATATTTAGTTTAAGCCAGCATGGTAGCACACCCCTTAGTCCCAGCACTATGGGAGGCTGAGGCAAGAGAATCACAAGTTCAAGTCCAGCCTGGGCTACAGAGTGAGTTGGTGAGTTCAAGGCCACCTGAACTACATAGGAAACCTTGTCGTGAAGGTGGGGTGGGGCTGGAGTGGTAGTTTAGTGTGAAGGCCCTAGGTTCACTTCTCAGGACCAGAAATAGAAAAACAAAACGAAACAAACAAACAAGATACTTAGTTAAATGCAAGTTAGATAAACTCATTCATTCAACAGACGTGTACTAGGAGCTTGCATCTGTGACCAAAACAGAAAGCCTGAGACAGACAGTAAATGTAAAAAGCGCATTATTGATGTGTTCACAAGGAGGAGTACTAAAGTGGGGAGAATTGATATGATTTTTAAGTGGGATGGATGGTCAGCGCTTTGAAGGAGATAAAGATTATAAACGTGACTCTGAGTCTCTATTAGAAGACCCAAAAGGAGAGTGCAAAAAAGAATGAAAACAACCCATGACACCAAAGGAGTGCACAGGACCCAGTGGTCTCTGGAGAGGCTGGGATGATGGGCTCCACTCACCCTGTTTCTCGGAGAAGCCAGGACTGGGCTTGAGGGCATGCAGCATCCTAGTGAGCGTGGGTCCCCACGTGTGGGTGGGGTGTCTCGGGGCAGGGTGTGTTTTGGGGGCTGTCACAGGAGACATGACCCCTGAAGCATGACAGTTTCAATAACATGACTGAAAAGGTGGAAACTTTGAGTTCCTTTCCCCGCAGACTCCTGTGGGGGTTTCGGGGCTGGGCCCTAAGCATCCTGTGATGAGAGGTGTGTAGTGGGCAGCGGGTCCCATGGGGCAAGAGGCCTGGATGCCTATCAACACCCCACTTCCCACCCCCAGGCCTGGCCTGCCTCCACATTGCCACCCTGCAGAGGAACCAGCTGCTCATGGAGCTGCTGCTGCAGAATGGGGCTGACATCGATGCCCAGGTGAGGTGGCCCAGTACCCAGGTGCCTTCCCCTCCACAGTGCTAGGCTTGACCTGCTGTCCCTGGGGCTTTGCTGACATCCTGTCCCCCCCAGGAGGGCACCAGCGGGAAGACAGCCCTGCACCTGGCCGTGGAAACCCAGGAGCGGGGTCTGGTGCAGTTCCTGCTGCAGGCAGGTGCCCAGGTGGATGCCCGTATGCTCAATGGCTGTACACCGCTGCACCTGGCAGCTGGCCGTGGCCTGGGCACCATCTCATCCACGCTATGCCAGGCTGGTGCCGACGCCCTGCTGCTGAACGTGGAGGATGAGACACCTCAGGACCTGGCTGAGGATGTAAGAGGCGCATGCTCTGCCCTCCCCTGTGGACCTCCCGTGCCCATAGCCGAGGTGGGCACTGAGCACTATCATAGCTGGGGGCCAGGAAATTAGGAGTCTGTGTGTAACCAGGGCTCACCACTTAGCACCACAGCACCCTGGCCACCTTGGCCCCACTCTGAGCCTGTTTCATAGTTGGTCAGGACCAGGCCCACACTTGGACTCCTTCAGGGCCACTGTAGATAGAGAATGGGAGAGGCAGATGGGCAAGGAGTTCTGTGGGAGTGAGGCCCACAGGAAGCTGGAATACCAGGCCTCAGGTTGCCACCTGGCTTTAGCAACTTCAAAGGAGGAAATGTACTGAGGATTCCAGCTCTTGGAATTTTTTGAAGTGAAATCTAGGTTTTCCATACAGCTCTTCTTATTTTTAAGCATTCAGTGCAGTTGGGCATGGTGATACATGTCTGTAATCTCAGTTCTCTGGGAGGATAAAGCAGGAAGATCTCAAATCCAGGCCCACCCTGGGCAACTTAATAACTTAGCAAGAACTTGGTTCAAACAATAAATTTTAAAAAGGAATGAAGATGTAGTTCAGTGTGAAGGCCCTGCAGTATCACCAAAAAAAAGAAAAAGTTCCAAATATTTTGTTAATACCCTCTCCCATTGCCCAACAACAGCCATAAAGGTACACAGGCTGGGTCACCTTTAAGGTTCCTCTTGTCTCAGCTGTTCCTCCATACATAGCTGTTCTGGACCTCAGGGGCCCACCTGGCCTTCGGCCCATGATTTGGGAAGGACTAGGGAATGGTAGTGAGATGTGTTCCCTGATGTCTGTTCCCAGGTCCCTGCTTCTGCAGCTGCTCCTGATGGCTCTGACCTTCCTGCCCTATGTTCTCCTTTTCAGCCACTCACTCTCCTGCCCTTCGATGACCTGAAGATCTCAGGGAAGCCACTGCTGTGTGCTGACTGAAGCCGGGCAGGCCTGGGGGCTTTGGGGCCAAACCTACTGCAGCCTGAACCCAGGCTGGCTGCTCTTCCTGGCCAGTCATAGGAACTGAGGCCCAAGCCTAGGACAGGACAGTCCTGAGCTGAGAGGAGTCTGGAAGAAGAGCTCCCGATGGACTGGACGCCCAAAGCCCAAGGCAACCTGGTGAAGCCTGTGTGCCCCTTGGAGATGTCAGGGGCTGTCATTTCTACCTACATTGGCCAGCCTGCAAGTGCCATCCGGGAGAAGGCCTGGCTACTCCCAAGTGAGAAGAGATTGAAACAGCAAAGCAGGGCCCCCAGGGGTCCCACCTTCGTGATGTTGAGAATTCAAGAAGCCTGGCCTGCATGGTGGTGCACGCCTGTAATCCCAGCTGCTAGAGAGGCTGAGACAAGAGAATGACAAGTTCAAGTCCCACCTGGGTACTTTAGTGAGACCCTGTCTCAAAATAAAAAAAAAGGCTGGGCTGTGTAACTCAGAGGTGGATTGCCCCTGGATTGGACCCAGTATTGGGGGAAAAAAAAAAAAATGATAACACTTTTGTCTGAGACTTTACACAGAGGACCCTGTACAGAGCCTTTGGGGGACAGACACTGTAGTAATGACACTAAAATGTTAGCAAAGACTTGAAAGTTTCCCTTCTATCATTGTTTGTATGTGTACCTAGTTTGGCTGCCCTGTGACCTCTTGGCCCCTGGGTAGGGTAGGGCCCTATTGGCTGGGGTCTATTTCTGGAGGGAGGGGAATGGGAGACAACCCCAGAGTCCTGCACAGCGGGCACCAGAAACCTCTCTTCTCCTTTCTCACCGTATAGTTCCCTGTTGGTCCGGCCTGTGCTGGTAACCCTGGGCACTTGGAGTCCAGCAGACGCGACAGCCTTTACCATCCTGAACCCAAACACCAAGGCGAGGATAGTGGGTGTGAGGGGCGCCCTGTGGATTTTACCCCCATGGGACCGAGAGTGATGGAACCTCGGAGCTCACGGGGGCGAGAGGACGACTGCTGGACTGGCCAGAAAAGGAAGGGGTCTTCATCCACCCGAAACCGGCCGGAGAGGGAA